TGTTGTAAGCAAATAACGCGTGTCAGAGGTTCCTTTCTATAACAAACGTAGGGGAAATGCAATAAAAGGGCTGGATGGTTTCGAGTGACACATTTTGTTACAAATTCGCTACAACTGTTGAGAATCCTTCCGCTCTGTGCGGTTGGCGGGGAAGAGACGCGGGGGAAGCCCAGCAGCCTCGACGGGATGGTTTGGAAAGATCAAGAGAGCTGCCGGAGATGGTTGCCCTCCCGTGGCAGACGGCAGAGGGCAAGAGTTAGGGCAGGAGCGAATAGCTGGGCTTGCCTGGTGCGTCCCAGCTAGTGTGTGGAGCGCGTTCCTTCCTCTCTAAAGCGCGCCAGCCCCTAAGGCGTGGGTGGGATGGGAGGATGTTTTGTGGTGTCTCTGGCACACACACATCTCTAGCTACACACCTCTTCCTCATTTGTCACCCAGCCCCCAACGAGGTGGTTCACAGACTACGGCTGAATATCAATAGCCGTTTTGCAACATAGATCCTCGCGATGCCATCTCGGAACATGAATAAAGAACATAATTACTGACTTCGCAGGCAGCCGAAACACACTTGTCTTTTGGTTCTTCCAGAGGATGCGGATGGGGGCGGGAAACTATGGCAAACAATTAATCAGCTGCTGCATCGGCTTATTCCCCTTCTTATTGCTCAACTAGAGATTCAGTCACTCAAGAGTGGGGCCTGTCTGGCGTTGTAGGGGTTCCTGTACCCACGCCTGGTGGGTGTGTGCTATACACACCACCCCGAGAAACACCGGCTAGCGCTTCAGGGCCACGCGTTTGACTTTCCCTCAAGTTTTAGCCCCAAGGACAGGCTGGGTAACGCTGGAGGCTCCTGCAGCAGAGGGCAAAAGGACAGAAACTTGCAACCTAGCAATCAGTTCCCAATTATTTGCTTTACCAGACTACAGAAGCCACGGTTGCTTCATTAGTAAGCGACTTTAAGTATTTTAAAAACCTGTTAACTCTTTCCTCCTTCCAATAGAGGACGTCCCTCGCTATTTATTTATTTATTTAAAAGCGAAAGAGAGTGAGAGAGCTACTGAGGCGGTTTGTATCCTCCCCCTCGGAGAGCCTGTCTCCATAATTTAAAATATTGTTTCTGTCCTACTGTTTGATAATCCTGTTCTGTTAGTTGGTTTGATGCTGACAGATTTTGAAGGCCACGTTTTTTCCCCTCCTCTCACCTGCTGTTACGTTTAAAAAGAAAAAGGTATTAACCTCCGAGGAAATAAATATTGAAACAAAAGGTTCTCGTCACAAAGCCCCAAATCCCATCAATTCAATCTTCCGCTCTTAATTTTCCTGCGTTCTTGATTTTCATCGTATTTCATAGCTGGGCTTCCCTCGCTTGCTCTCTTCCATGCTTTCCAAAATGGCTTGCAGATATTTATTTGGGGGTGTGCTTGTCCGTATATGTTTCTTAGCCCACTTTTAAGTTTGATTTCATTTTATGTTATTTTCAAGTTTGATTTGATAAGGGATCAGCTTCTCCAGGAAAAAAAAAAAGTAAATTGCTGTATGTGGGTGCAGCTGTAATGAAAAATCAGGGCAGTTAAATCGTAAAATTTGGATTAAG